AATCAATGAAAATTTTACATATTTTAAAATATCAAAAACGGTCTTGTGCCTATAAAAGCAGTGTTTTTTTTAGATTTTAAAGATTGAATTTCGATTGAATATAGATTACTTTATGTTAAATTTATAGAAATAGCTACTCAAAATATAATATTTGTTTCCAGATGGGAAATGCTATTGGTTTCGTTCGTTCAATGTCATCTGGAGCTGCGGCTGTGGCGAGTCAAATGAAAGCCTACGACACTATCGAAAACGAAATCGAGATTACGGAAGATGAAGGTAAACTTGTAGTAGCTGCTGTATTTGATAAACGTTACAAGATTTTTCGCAGAAAAGCGCATTGCATTAAATTTGCTGCTTACGAGCTACAATTTTATTTAGGAGAAACACCTTTGCGAGCGCTAAAAGAACTTCTGACTGATTTACGCAATCAAGCCAATAAGAATCGTGATTTCACCAAGGTTTGCTGTTTTTGAAAATTATGTGAAGTTTCGGTAAGAATCTTATTTGCTTCAAGTTAGAGTTGAGAGCCGAATGGAATTTTCGATAAGACCCTCCTCCACATTATCAAAAAGCATATACTCCCAGCTGAAAATAAAGTGGAAGTTCTCTGCAGAAAATCAGAAATTTTCCAGATGTTGGTTGAAGTGTTCCGGCGTGCCTTCCTGGATGACTCGAAATATGCTCATCTACTTAACTTCTATGTAGCTGTGCCTGCGCTTACTGTAAATTACGTTGAGCACATGCTTGTATGTAGAGACCGTCTCAAGAAGCGCGCACAGCAGAACAAGGAGACCACATTTACGGACGACGGTTTCATAATGGGTTCGTATTCCAAACTTTCCTTAAAAAGCTCATTTTAACTCATGAAAAATTCAGGTCTTGCTTACATTCTCACTGTGCTGAATCTTTGGCCTCAGTTTTCATCATTGAATTGGTTCCGTTCAATTTCCAAGTATGTATTTGAGGTAACCTTAATCTGAGATTTTGTTTTCAATGAGATTTTAGAAAATGTACTGCTGACTACGAAGCTCTAACCGAGGAGATGAAGACGAGTAAAGATCCCCGTAATGTGCACCTCAAAACGGCTCGTCTACAAGCGTTTGAGAGGGTACGTCATTTTATCTCTTTTGTTGCCATGTTAATGGATGCTCAGTTTTTAGGAGTTCAAGCTGTTATCATACACATTCCAGTCCGCTCGGGTATTTCTTTCTATCGATGAAGATGTTGAATAACACAAATAACACATTGATCATCAGTTTATAGTTGTACAGAAATATCTAAATTTCTACCTTGTCTCTTATCGGAAAGCTTACAAAATAATAAACTTATATTGCGTTTTACCTATTTCCAAGCAAATTTATCTCATTTTTGAACATTTAACATATCACACTTTTTAACGAACCATGAATTGGTTAATTTTTGCTCCTCTGGAATCCACTTTTACAGAAGTTTTGTGTAGCTGCCAATATATGCGTCAAGAAGTGCTGGGTCATTCTGAATTTATTTCCCTTCTCCACTTAGGTGTACGGCCTGTGTGTGGTGTCGTGAGTCCTACGTTATAAGGCGGTCAAAGTTTGAAGTTGTTTGTGGAAATTTGATCGTTGTTCTTAGTGTGATGGAGTGTGTATATCTTTAGAAGGTCAAGAACAGACTGACCTAAAGGCCATTGTTTTAGCTTCGGATAGATACAAATAGCTTCACTTGACCCTAAAAGTTCTTTGAGAGTGATTTTGATGGTGGCAAACTCAAATTTTGGATGACTGCCAGAGATGGAATTTTGACCAGAAATACCTAATAATGGATTGGGTAGTTCGGTTTGTTGCACATTATTGATATTAGCTGTAAGATGCTAACTTGCGTTTGTTGAGCCTTTTTTTGGAAGAGAGTAAAAGAAGAAAGAACCTGGGGAAGGCAAGACGGAATCGGCCTCAAATGCGGTAAACATTCGACTTTATTCAAAGCTGTCTCATACAATTTATACAGTATCCTTTTAATGCAGGCCTCGGCACAGGGTCTTCGATTGAACTTTACGAGAACGAATATCCACTTAAAAATCTAAGAAATAACGAAGCCCGCTTTGTTGCCTATCCAAAGTGTGCAAGCAGGACAAGCATTGCAGTGCTGTTTGCTTGGAGCGCGTTTTCTTCGTCTAAGTAAAATGATTTAGGGCCCTGCAAGCAAGGAGATAAGGAAGTGCTTTGATCTGGTTATTGCGCTATAGGCTGGGTTTATTGATGTCCACAAAGTGATTGATAGAAGGGAAGCAAAATTATGGGAACAAAAAAGTGTTTGTTAATCGGAAACCTGAAGTCTCCTGTAGGCCTTCTCCGGAGACCTAGATTGCAAAAAACGATTTTCTCACTCGCATAATTTTTAAAAGATTTTATAAACACTTCTTCTACTCTTTGTGCATTTTCACGCCAATTTTGGTGGCTGTTCATTGTCTATCGCCTTGAAAAGCGAGTCTATATGGACACGTCAAA